TCTTTATTTTGATTTTTTGTCCATACAAAAATGTTGGTTGGGTTGCATTGCTTTCAGTTTGTAAGGAAAAATGAGCAAAAACACTGATTTTTGGTCATTTTCAAAGGCCTCCCTACAGGTCCATAGGGGCTCTAGGGGGTCGAGGGGGGGTTTATTAAAAAGTTCGATCCTTCCTCTTTCCAATAAGGGGTCGAGAGGGGGGTTAGCCCCCCCCTGTTTTTCTCCATAAACGATACTTAACCGGCGCGATACTAAATATTCCCCATAATTAATATTAATGACGAAATCATAATTGTAAAAAATGTAAACAATTATTTAATTCAAAATATTCAAATATATATTCAAATATAATGATAAGATTTATGAGTACAAGATGAATTAATACCATATGAAAACACCATACAATAGATAAGACATGTGAATTAATTACAAAAGTTAACTCAGAAATAATTAATATTAATGACGAAATCATAATTGTAAAAAATGTAAACAATTATTTAATTCAAAATAATTGTGGCTCGGAAACATTACAGTTAAATGGAAATATATCTTTAGAAGAATTAAACTCAACGTCGATACATAATCTAAAAGAAATAGAAGAAATAAAATACAACAATAAAGTTACAAGAAGAATTAATACCATATCAAAACACCATACAATAGATAAGACATGTGAATTAATTACAAAAGTTAACTCAGAAATAATTAATATTAATGACGAAATCATAATTGTAAAAAATGCAAACAATTATTTAATTCAAAATAATTGTGGCTCGGAAACATTACAGTTAAATGGAAATATAGCTTTAGAAGAATTAAACTTAACGTCGACACATAATCTAAAAGAAATAGAAGAAATAAAATACAACAATAAAGTTGTAACATACAGCCAATATCCTTATAGTGTACCAACAGTGGCAATATTAACAGTAATATTCCTTGCGATAATATTAATGTGCAATCATTAGAAAATACTTAAATACTTAAATAAACCCAACAACATTACTGTGCAAAACATTTATTTATTTGTTGGTTTGATTTAAATTGACACTCACATAAATATGTATAACGAAAATGCAAGTGTCGTTGCTTCATAAAAATAGACAACGATAYTTGCAATGTAAACAAATTGTATTTAAACATTGTGGCTCACCGAACTTAAATTTATGAATACTATATGAAACGTTATTACTTTTACTTTCATAAGCAAAAGTCAAAGTAATAACCAATTATGTAGGAATTATTTGTACGTCCACTTAAAAAGTACTTAAGCCACATAAATGTCCATGCACCGAATTTAATATTTACAAAAGAGAGATAACATATATAATTTTGTTTACATTTACATATTTTAATCAATACTGATGGTTTCATTTTAAGAATGAAATTATTGTAAAATTAGTCTTAATAACAACTTGAAAGAATAAAGACATACAATTTTATTTTTAAAAATAAAAAAAACTTATGATCTTACCTTTCATAAAACATATAATTCGCGACTCTTCCAAGTGTCAGCAGAGCGAACCTTCAGCTGAGCAGTGCAGTATAGACGGTGACTTACATATGTGCGCAGAGTATGCGACGATCTGCTAACAAAGCAGCGAAGGCAACTGCGATAGCAAAATGATATCAAAGTATTTTGTTTTTATACGTACTCTTTCCAATGAGCGGTAATTTCACAGTAGAAATTCTTAAAATCTCACCAGACAAATCATCCGAGTGCAAACCAGTTATGTGCAAATAAACAGTCTAGGAATGTAATTCACGTTCTGATTACTGCATTAAACTTTTTGCTGGACATGTATACATTTTTCAATGTATCCTGCAGTACGGCTGGTATGAATTGGTGAGTTGCACTAATGAATTCATGTATTATAAGTAATTAGTGATTTCCCGACGTTGAGGTAAAGCAGATAAATAGAAACACAGGAGAGATATTGAGAGAGAAGAGAGCATGATCTACAGCACGCTTTTTTTTCAATACCAGCGAAAGATAAGGGTGGAATGCAAATTTGAGAAAACATGGACGATACAAAAAGCACATACCTGTATTTACATACATGTCAATCATCAAAAGCATGATTTACTGTAAACTGGTACATGTGTTTACCGTTACATATGTATGTATGGAGACAGCGTTTTATTTGTAATTTTCAAGTTGTACTTTTTCAGCGTTATAGTTTCATGCACCATCGCGTCGGGTTTGGTAATTATATTATTTGGTTAATATTATTATAAATCGTGTAGATGAAAAGTGAATAAAAGTAAGACAATGTATAGTAAAAGGCATTCTGTATTGTCTATAATAACTAATGTGTCAGGGTGTTCATATATCCATTTTGGTTTGAGCAAACAGATAAAAAAGATATTTGATGTGTTTGATTTTTCGCCTTCATTGAGCATCGACTTTAACATAGATGGACTCTCTTTATTTAAAAGTTCTAAAGCCCAATTTTAGCCAATTTTAGTCCGGATAAATAATTTAGAAAACGTGCTTGTTTTTCCAGTAGGAGTATTTTTTAGGGAACAGTGAACCGAATAACTTCGAAAATTTTTTAGGTACGTTTTGTAGTGAAAACCATTCAAATCGAAATTCGTGCTATAGTTTGCGATGCTCCAGCGAGAGCATTTTTTGGCAGCATTCCTGGTACATCTAGACACGGTTGCTCAAAATGTACGCAAGTTGCAAAAAAAAAAAAAATCAATGGACTTTTAACTATTAGTACCTGCTCAAGTGTTTTGATCACTGAGATCGATTTTAAAAGTAGAAAATATTATATATAAACCATCACTCCCAGTTATACTTAAATCCGTTTTTGAATAACTTAATGTGTCTATGGTGTCTCAAGTTCCATTAGATTGTATGCATCCAATAGCATTAGTTGTAATGCGTAAACTTTTAATAAACTCAAACTCTCAACTGTTACTCACAAAGCTTTAATTCACGCATGTATGCATGTATATATGTACGTGTAAACAAATTTTAATCATCTGTACTCTATATACATAAGTACATGTTTTTCAACAATTATTTACTTATTTTAGATCAACTCCGAATTTGCATGGAAGCAGTAATCGATATGAAAGTTCTTATAAATAAGTGGAATCGGCACATTGCTGAGGAAACGTCTCTAACGGCAAAATTTTTCGTTTTCATGTGTGGAGGAGGTAAAATGTCTAAATGCAGAAATTAAAAACGACAATCATCAATGTTATGCAAGTTTTTGTCAAATTGCATCTTAATTTATATAAAATATTTATTTTCTTTTCAGGTAAAAACTATGAAATCACTTTTTAGATCGGCCGGGGTGGTTAAAAATCTTCAAGAGATATTGACGGATGCTGTGGTCTAAGAATACAATATTGATCATGGGAAAAAATCTTTAAGAAGTCTGGAGAATTTTTAAAATATTATATTATAACTGTTTTACCTTATGTTTGTGATAGCACTCAATTATATATTGATTTATGTATCAAAATACATCATTACTAATTAATTATTTTAATATCTATCTTTCCAGAACCAATTCGAACTAGCCATGACTCTGAGCTGGCCGAAAAGCAATTACGCAATGCAATTCATCTACAAAAAAATGGAATAAAGAAAGCAAAGAGTTTAAACAAAAATAAAAATAAAGCCGAAAATGATGTGAATATTGGTGTATAAAAATTGTATCCTTTATTATTAAATGATGAATGGTAGGAACTAGATAAGTAGAAAAATTACTATTGAAAAATATAAAGTTGTAGGTAGTGTGGTAGGTGGTGAAATGTTGCAAATGGAAGATAGTGAGATAACTAGTGAAATATTGAAGGTGGTAGGTAGTGAGGTGAATTATAAAAAGTTGTAAGTGGTGAAGTAGCTAGTGAAATAAAGAAGGTGGTAATATAGTTAGTGATCCATACATATAATATGTGATGAAGAATCTAGTGAAGTATAGGTGGTGAATCAATAATGAATGGTGTTTCACTGGCGAGCAGAACTGGCGGGATGCAACTATTGTTCAGTAACCACAATCAGTGTTTTTCAAAGTTTTTCACAGTTTTGCACAATTAAATATGTTTACACTGCCCCACATTGCGCGCCAAAATGTTGGAGCAAGAAAATTTTATTATTTAACAATACAGGTTTTAAACAAATTAATGTGAGCGAGTTTTATTTGCAAAGTTGTTCATATCTATATACATAATTACTCCTTAGAAGATTTCAGCATTGATATAAATAAAAAAAAGTTACGAATACAATATATGTGTGTATAAACGTAAACAGCGTAAATGAACGAAAATTGAGTTTACAACTTCTGTTAACAAGCCATGAGACAAAAAGAGATTTATAATAACAATGCATTTATTTTATATGGGTCACAGTCATTAGGATGACCCAACAATAACTTTATTAATGAGGTATTTTTGAGTTTAGAAGAAAAAGTGGTTGACGAGATTGTACGAAATAGCTATCATGGCGCCCAAAGACGAATTGGTAGTTAAAAATTACACTACGAGATTTATCAAAATAATGTACCAAGTATTCTACACATTGAAAAGGTCTACAGAAAACTCCGCGATGGCATAAGTCTACCTCTTATGGAAATCTTACAATAACATTTTTATGTCACTTAGTTTTTACAACAAATATTGCCTTATTTTTGAAGCGATTTTAACCAATACAACACTAATTATTATCCAATTAAATACTTTAAATACATTGTTGATTTAATATATGCATATATTATATATTCATAGGCACGCTCCCACCGCCTCGGCCGACGGGTACCGCTACAAACGCTACGTCCCGTAATTTTTGAATATGTAATATCTTCTCAATTTAAATCATATCCTGTATGGCCCTGCATTAAGAAGCCCTTTAAATAATGCGTTGGAGCCGAGCAGTCGCCGTTCTCCCTATAGCACTTTGAATTTCGCAGCGATGGGACGCGTTTAGTATCGAAGCTCTTTAGCGAGGAAAATAACAATATTTAATAAAAAATTGCTTTTCAGCGCAAAAAACGATCAGTAATTATAAGTAAGTTTCTAATGTGATGTGATCTATGTATCAGCCACCCCAAAGCGTGGACGGGTTCTCTAGTATAACAATATGATAGGGTGATCCATTTCCAGGTTCCTTATGTTTCCAAATATCAATGTTTATTAATATTAAACATGTAAAAACATTCTTTGGCATTTATTTTTCGTATATGACTTCTTTCAAATTTTGGGCACGGCTATGATTCAGATGGTCCATCCGTTGAGTAAAATTTTCGATTACTCGTCCGAGGATTTCGACCTGTTACTGGAATGACACACGCGTGATGTTTCGCTTCAAGACATGAATCAAAGCGGGATTTTGCGCACGGTCTTGGTGGCCAATCGACCGGCCCAAGATTTGAAATTATCTTCTCACCGAAGTGTTATCTCAATAAATCCATATGTTGATGTCTGAGAAGTGGTGCCGTCATGTTGAAACCAAATGCCACGAGCTTCAATTTCAGTGATCATATAGTCGGTTATCATGGAGCGATAAAGGTCGTCATTGACGGTTACGTTCTAACTGGCATCAATTTTGAAGAAATATGGATGATTACACCGGCCCACATAGCACATCAAACTGTTGTTTTTATTTTGTTGGATGAAATGGCAGCTTTTTAATCTCTTCAGGTTGCTCTTCGTCTCAAATTCGGTAATTGAGCCAGTAATGAACCTCATCGCTTGACAAAATTTGGCTCAAAACTGTCGGATATCCTTGAAAGTTTTCAAGAGCGAAGCGTTGTGGCTTGGGAATGTCGAGAGGCTTCAGATCTTGCACAAGCTATATTTTGTAATCTTCCAATTTAAGATCTCGACATAATATGCGCCAAGTCGTCAATCCCAACCAACTCTTCACGGTCTTGGTGTAAACTCTTATCTACGGCTGCTAGCACGCGAAAAACATTTGTAAACGTTGTTCAGGCGTAAATCTTTCATGATGAAATGCCAAACAATACTGAACACACATAACAAGACAGCTTGGCATGAATCGCGCGTGATCTGTCAAAAAAACTTAAAAAATTTACTCTACTTGGGTCACCCGTTAGCTAAGAAAATTCTTTTTTTTAGGTGAATTTTTACCAAATCTATATTTTTATATGGATATTTCTTGGATATATTATAGTTCGGTAACGAAAGTGAGTGAGTGAGCCTATCTCATTATTTGATATATAATAGGTACTTTAGACCAAAAATAATAAGACTTTTTAATTTAAATTTCGTGCGAGAACTCATTCATCGACATATTTTTTTATATTCGTATGACATGGTCAAAGATATCTGTGTCTTTTTGAAATACATAAACTACATTCAGTGAGTTTTACGATGAGTGAAATAATTTAACAAATTTCTATTAATTTGTGTGCCCTGAATGTTGGAAAAGGCCTTCGGTGATAATTGTTTGTCGCGAGCATGTGTTTTTGATAGATAAAAATTATTTAAGAACGCGTTGAGCACGAATCAAATCTAGAACAGCCATAAACAATAACTGATAATCAACACGTCAATAAAATAAAGTAAAATAAATCGATCTTACTTGCAACGTTGAGATATCGGAAGGATCACTGAAAACCCGTTTTAAAGATCATTTCGGCCTAAGAAAAGTTTAAGTACAATTGGTTCAAAATCACTAAATTTTTTCGGAAAACAGCGTCGTTTTAACGTCAGTTAAACAATGCTTTGCGATTAACAGAATGTCTTAAACGTATTAAAATGTTCACGAAAAAAACTGGTAAAATAGAAATATGCACAGCTTTTTATGATTGGTGTAGAATTTGTCAGCATGGTACACGTTCGCGAATCGGTTTTGCGCACAAAGCTGGAAAATCCAGGCATGTCTCACAGCGACATCGCCAAAAAATTAAAAATTCCAAAATCTTCAGTATCTTTCGTATTTAAGAGACTCCTTATCATTGAATTGAAGCGCCGGTTGTGGTAGAAAACAAGAATTTGAATCTCCACTTATAACAAAAAAAATTTTCGACCTATTTGAAACGAAATCCTGGGCTTTCAGTACGAGATGTCGCCAAAAAAGTGTAAATGTCACTTACATATGTAAAGAAAGTACGCAAACGAAATGAATTACATTCCTTCAAAGTGAATGCAGCACCAAACCGCAATGATAACCAACATGATTTGGCAAAACTACGTGCTTGGCAATTATATGAAAAGTTCATGCCTAATTTTAACTACGTTGTAATGGACGATGAATCTTATGTAAAAGCTTTTACTTTAAACAAATTCGCGGGCGACAATTTTACACAGCAAAAAAAAGGGGAAATGTTTCTGAAAATTAAAAAAAAAAAGCTTGACAAGTTTCCAAAAAGATGTGTAGTATGACAGGCTATTTGCCAGTGTGGCAAAAGTGAACCTTTTATAGGCTATGGAACAATAAATCAAGAAATTTATGTTATTGAGTGCTTACACAAACGTATTTTGCGTTTAATTAAGCTTCATAAAGATCCAGTACTCTTTTGGCCTAATCTTTATATCTCTTTAAAGTGGTACCAAAACAATAGAGTGGTTGCTGTTCCCAAAGAGATAAACCCTCCGAAATGCTCAGAGCTAAGTCCGATTGAGACTTATTGGGCCATTATTAAAGCGTAACTGTTAAAGACGTAATATAAGTGGCGAAACGTCACTAAAGACTTCAATAAGGATTCTCTTTAAGCGCTTATGAAGGATGTTAAACCAAAATTACGATTATTCGCTTATAAAAAATATCCGGAATATTATAACTTGAATTTGTATAAATCTATATATACACTATAACTCTTATATATATTTGGATGTGTTGCAGTAAAATGATTTCCAGCTCTCTATGCCCCGAGACAAAACACAATTCCATAAGGGTCAAATTCATGGCTAAGTTGTCAGTTTTCTTCGGTTATCGAGGTATCGTGCACTCCGACCGGCGAAACTGTCAGCAGGGAAGGGAAATGGGTTGCTCACGTGTTAAGAGTAATAAATATTTTTATTTATTCAGAAAAGAATAAGTCCCACAACTGCGGAATGTGTTTCAGTAAGCATTATCAACTCTCCCGTTCTGAAAGTCACCACGTTTTGAAGTTTTTTTTTTTTAAGTTGATCTTTTTGATGCTCAAACTTAAATTGTTTTGCTTCTGAAATTTGTGAATAGTTATATTTTTACTGTTAAGACACAATTTATTTTTCTAATAAACTACGAGACAAAGCGAGTGTATTTTATAAAATATATGCCTAGTCCTGGGTTAAGTTTTGTTGAACTGGTAACAGGACCATTAAAAAAATTAAACTATAACACATAAGTTTTTTTTAATAATAAATGTATGAAATGAGCGATATATTCAAAATAGCCGCTTTTTTCGTTCACACAATCCCTAAGACGATTCGGCCATAGATCTAAAGCAGCAATCATATATTGTTTGAGACTCTCCAAATTTCCTTGGGGTATTCGGCAGGACATGTTGGATAGTGGGCTTTAGCAAAATCTGCCAAGCATGACTTATGGTGTACTTTTTCCACTATATTAACCTGTTTTTACACAAAAGTGGAAAGGTGTAACGCGTTTAGTGCATCAGCAGCAATATTTTGACCACGTTGAACGTGACAAAATTGGTTCGAACCACCAATCAATCCGTCTTCGAGTGTGCTCAAACTAACATCAGTATTAGCAAAATCTTCCCTACCGTAGATTTCAACAATTAAAAAAATACTATAATTGTAAAAATATATG